ATTAAAAGCTGTGGAGTTGGTTCTGACTCATATCAAGCCTGTATAAGGTTTCTAAGGAGCAGCTGGAAGAGTTGAACCAATGAGCTTGCAACTCTAATAAGTGACATTGAAGTCGAGTGCTTATCCTGTAGTGCTACACCAAGATACTCTTTCTCAATATGTTGTTATTAATATATTTACATACTTTATTTAAAATAGAAATGAATGTTTGATTAAAGTGATAGATGCATAGTTTAGTTGTACTAACCCTCAGCCTCATTTTCATCCCAAGAGTTCAGATTCTCTTTTTTTTCTGACATCTTGGTTTTAGGTTTCTAAATAATATGCTTATACTGCTCTTTCTTGGAGAGCATGGTGACTTCATAAGATAAGCACTGAACTGAGCCACAAGGTATGTGGTTTGAGCCTGCCAACCGCTCCATGGGAGAAAGATGAGGCTTTCTGCTTCTGCCTCAGAAAACCGTACACAGGATTGTTACGAGTGGGAACAAACTCAACTTCGTTGCTCAACTCAGAGTGACTTATGCTCTCACAGCTTACCAGTATTTAAACTTGACAGGAATAAGGCTTTCTTACCCAGATTTGAAGATTCAGACTCGAGTTCCTCCTCAATTTTCTTTCTTTGGAGACAGTTACTGGATTGAAGCTCTGGCTTCACTTTTCTCTTTTTTTCTTGGGGATTTCATGAAGACAATTTCCCATCTCTGTATTACAGTTTATTTTTGACTAATACTAGCTCTGGGCCTCACTGCTCCTTCCAATTCCTAAGTTTACCTGAAACTTGAGAGACTTAGCACGTTCATCAGGGGCCTCTGGAGATCTGATATGCAGGCAGCTCTTAGTACATTGGTTAGTACATTCATTGAAATCTTTTTCGTCCTGTTTTAATTCTGTGCTGTTGCAGTTTTTGTTTCTTTTTTGCCTTTTTACTGGACATTTTGGAAGAACAGTTAAATGCAACTCGAGAATTGGCACAAGTTTATGAATGGTTGCCTTTTTGTGAAATTGGTGAATTGCTAGACAAGGATTACTAGGGATGCAGTGTATTATGAATGCTTGAGTTAATTTTGAAACTGGAAAGTAAAATGGCATGTGATAGACCAGTAGTCCATGGCTTGATTCTTTGTTAAGTCTTTCTGGCCAAGGAATTGAAAACAGTCCTACCTGGTAAGTTCTTTATTTTGTAGCTCAGGTATTGACTTTGAAACCAGTCATTATCTGTGAAGCAAGTGTGACGGTATTGGCTGAATTTTCTGGGCTTTAGATCTAGGTATAATGAGATACGATATTGTAAGAAAATGCAAGAAATAACTTGAAAATATTCCTGGGTTCTAGAGTTACAGGAGATAAAAGAATTCATAGTAAACACTTCTTCAAGGTATGTTGTCATGTGCCGTGGAGTCGGTGCCGGCTCACAGCGACCCTGTACAGGGTTTCCGAGGCTGTAAATCTTTACGGGAGCAGAAAGCCTCATCTTTCTCTGGAGAAACAGCTGTAGTTTCGAACTGCTGACCTTGCGGTTCACAGCCCGATTCGTAACCACTACGCTACCAGAGCTCTTCAAGGTATAGATATTTTTAAATGGATCAGGTAGTTGGAAGATTTTTTTCTTAAACAGCTAACGTTAATATTTTCACTTTACAAAATAATTTCGCATAGATTTTTAATGTATAATGGGCTTCTGGGAAAACAGTAGTTACATTGCCTTTCTCCATGAAGTTTCGTCCTCAGACGAGGTTAAAGAAAATGGCATTCCTTTTCCCTCAAAGCAGAATATAGGTATAAAGGAAATTTTGTGATGCAAACATCTGATGTGAAAATGACTTCAAGGGTGAAAAATGCCCATCTAGTCAAGGACTCCTGTTGTGGTGTTGTAAGATAAGTACTAGACTACAAACCACAAGGTTCTCTGTTCAAACCCTTCAAAGCCACTCCTTGGAAGCCCTATACAGGGTCCTGATGAATCAGAACCACTCGAAGGCACTTAACAATAACAGCGACAGAGTTGATAGGATTAGAAAAGGCTCCATGTGCGTTTACCACCTAACCCTGAGCATTTTCCTGGGACAGTTATATGATCTAGGATCCTAGGCTTATGGGATCTCTGGTTTATCCACATTGTAGCATGCTTTATGTACACCAGAGGGCAGAAGCTCCTTGTGTTGGTGAGGAAAGCACCTAGAAAGACTGCCATTAAGAGAAGAATGCCCCAAACATCACAGAAAGCTTTGGGAATGGAAATCAACAAGACCGTACTCCCATCACCGGAAGTAGGTGTAGTCCCTACTCACAAACTATTTTGAAAGCCACTGGAAACTAGGCAGCCTCTGACATGCTGTCACATGTACTTAGGATGTCACAGCCTCTGTTTACTGCTCTCTAGTTGGTCTGGAGTCCTATAACAAGTTACTTACAGTGGCATCTCCAGCTGGCTTCTTGTTAATTGCCACTGAGTGATTGGTGTCCAGTCTGTGCCCAGCTATTTATATACAGGAATATATGAAGGCAGGAGTGCTGGGAAAGCAGTGGTTTCCACCAAATAAGGACTTGCTCCAGTCCAATAAGGAAAGCTCCTTATCAGTTACAAATAGAATCTGGGCATGGTGGCCTATTTTAAAAGTATAGTTTCGGTAATCTATTCGCCAAAATCTTAGCTATTACTTTAAAAGTCAGTATTTGAAATTGTATTTGGCTTGGCTAAATCGAACACTAAATATAGACCAGCAGTTTCCTGCTGGGGTTAAAGGGCCTTATAGGAGGGCCCGTGTGCTGAAAGAAGGCAAAGAGCTTTCTTGTAGACTCTCCCCAACAATTCGGGTTTTTGTTTTTGTTCATCTTCTGGTACCGGAGCAGTGAAAGCTCACAGTTTTGTAAGTAATTTGCATGCTGTTACTCCACTGAGACTGCATTGTGGCTGTCAAGGTTGGAAAGCTTTTGGTGCATGTGCTCTGTGCTTTTAGCTTTTAATAGAAATTATTTTAGACTTGATTGGAAAATTTACTTACTGAATGTGAAGAGACTCTGACTTTGAAATGGAATTAAAGAACAAATTACCATGATTCACTCAGCAAAGCTTCCCATTAGGTTTAAATTAAGCCCTGTTATCAAAATTGTTATTTTGCGGCAAGCAATACTGGCGTGAGTTATTTCTATGACTTGATACCAAGGCCCTGTGGGAAAATAAAGAGAAGCAATTTTTCATAGGTAACTTTATCAGAATATTTATTTTTTAAGTATTCAAAAGCATTCTTACATGGCCAAAGGAATCTGTTATCAGAATTGATTGCAATAGGAGGAAAATGCAATTACTTACACATATTTCAGTGCAAGGTATTCAGAAAAGGTTCTGCTAAGAGGTTACTACTACTTCAGTCAGCCTTGGATCATCACAACTGAGTGGGACGACTAGTAAGCTCCAGAATTGCTAGTAACGCTAACTTCTTTAGCCAGACAAGCTGTTCCCAGTTGTCCTTATGTGGGAATGCCAAAGATAGAAATGACTGGGAGTCACACAGCTGTGGGTCTCCGGTTTAGGACCATGTGATCTTGGATCCATTTTCCAGCAGAGACTTTGGCAGACTACTGGTGGCTACAAACCACAACCAATGCAGTGTGCTCGGCTTGTTCTTTCTTTCTATTTGTAGGTTGCAGTTAAATAATATATTGCGATGTGTCTATTTACACTGTAACTTCACCCCAAAGAAGAGATGGTCTTTCTTTCAGAGTCCTTCATGGTCATGGCTTTCTCTAGGCTGTTGTCTTCTTTGAGATTTAGGGGTGCAATGATTGAGTCACCTTTTGAGGAGGGAGCAAGGTCAGTCAGTCATTTGACGATTTTATTAGCTTTGCTGCTGTTAAGTGAGTTTCTGAAGCGATGATTTTCTAGCAGATTCTCTACATTGTAAACACTGATGAAGTCTAAACATGAGATTTAAACACTAGTAGCTAGCTGTGTTCTTAAAGGGGAAGCAACGTCTCCAGAATATTAAGTCAGAGATCCAAAATTGAACCACGCGTCAGTCACCAAGTCTAAAATAGAAGCTTTGTTTGGAATCACGCTTTTATGATGTTACACAGCCTGCATTCCTGGTCAGAGATTAGTATTTGGGATTATAAAGTGTAAAATCCAAACCCACTGCCAAAGGGTCAGTTCTGACTCACAGTGACCCTGTGTAGGGTTTCCCAGGCTGTAAATCCTTAAGGGAGCCGAAAGCTTCATCTTTTCCCCTCATGGTGACTTCTGGGTTTGAACAGCCAGCTTTTCAGTTAGCAGCCCAGTGCTTATCCTATAGTACCACCATAGGACTAATAAAGTATAAAGTGGTGATAAAATTTGGAATACTTAGAAAAGAATAGCTTAGAAATCTGATAACACTTTTGGGTCTTAGCTTTATCTATAAAAGGGTAAGATTGGGTTGATCTCCAGTGCCCATTGAATCTTTATTACTATTGATGCTTTTTTTTTTCTTCACTCTGCACCCTCCCCCCCCCTTTTTTTTGTAGTCCCTTCATGTGATTCCTTTAGAAACTCTCTATGAAGTATATTTGGAATTCAGTACTATCTTTATCTAAAATGCTACAGTAAAACCTTAGTTAAAATACTCAGAGAATTGCATGTTCTGTAAATCAAATTTCAGAATAACTGAAACACTTTGAGTTTTAACTGATTGAAAAACAAAATTTAGTTGGTCTATTTTTTGTAGGTAAGATTCTGGGAATGCGTTTGTTCCGTGCCTCCTCCCACGCATCCCCCTCCCCCCCAGCCCACAAGTAGTAATAGGTTTTAGATACTATTATGAAATGACTAGTTTTAAATTTTAGATTGCAGTTTACATTGTTCAGTAAAATGATTTTTTTTTTTTTTCAGATTTCTTATTTGTGTACTAATTTATTCTCCTGAATTTTTTGGCACTGTGGGATAATGCACTGGACCACAAAGTTGGTTTGAATTGTAAGGTCAGTGGTTCAAATTCACCAGCTGCTCCTCAGAAACCCTGTACAGAGTCACTATGAGTCAGAACTGACTCGAAGGCACTTAGCAACAACAATCTCCAATTCCATTTCTCCTCAATCTGCAGCTGTGTATTAAAAGCAATAAAAAATGGCAACAAGAAGTAAGCATTGTATCATCCACCATAGGGGGAAAGTGTATGCAATGACTTTGCTAGAGTCCAGACAGGCATCTCAAGGTGGGCTTTAGGCTTCAATCTTGTTTCTACTTGTGTACTTATTTACAAACACAAATTCTTTAAGAATACATTGAAATTCTATATAAATAAAACATTTTGAGTGTTCCAACGCAGCACAACTCACTGACTTCTAAATCAGACATTGGACATTTAAAGAATAGAATTGGTCCCTGCCCTCAAGTGTCTTGAGTATACTTTTATTGTTAGGTACCATCAAGTAGATTTCTACTTCTAATGACCCCATGTGGAAGAGTAGAACTTTCCCAGTCTTAGTGTGGTGCTGTAGGATAATCACTGGAGTGCTAACTGCAAGATGGGCAGTTCAAATTCACCAAATGCTCTTCAGAAACCCTATACAGGGTTAATGGGAGTCGGAACCAACTCGATGGCACTTAACAACAACTTTATAGGTGGAGATCAATAGCTCTTTCTCCAGTAGAGCTGTTGAGTGGATTTGAACTGGTGACCTTCAGTTAATAGCTGAGCGCTTAACCACTCATGCAAGCAGGACTTTTTCAGTGTATTGGCATGCCCAAAGATGCAAGCATATAACTGCAATAAAATATTATAGATGCTCTGACAGAATACGTGGCCAAGTGGTACCAAGGAGGCATTGGACAATTCTCTCAAAGGAGGTGATGTTTGAGTTGATTCTTGAAGAAGGATTAGGAAGGGGTGTGGGGAACAAAGTTAGCATCGGGGAAAAGGCAGGGAATGCTGAACCAAGAGGTCTAGTTCCAGCTCTGTCACTAGCTGAATGTACGAACTTGGATATTTACCTCTCTGAGCCTCAATTTCTCCTTTATGAAAACTGGTGGTTATATTAGAGCACGACAAAATTCTTTTCAGATCAAAATCCTATGTTACCATTAGACTCAGTTTGCAAAATCTGAGAAAGAGATAAAAAAAAGATCAGAAAAAGACAATTTTATATGAATTGAAATTTGTCATCCTAGGGTTTCCTTTCCACAGAATTAAAAGGCCACAAGTTCTCTGCTATTCTAGAAAGATATCTTATTGACCCAAGCCATGGTATTTTTTAATAACCTCATATGCTTGCAAAAGCTGGATAGTGAATAAGGAAGACCAGAGAAGAATTGATGCTTTTGAGTTGTGTTGGAGGAGATTATTGAAAATGCCATGGGCTGCCAAAAGAACCAACAGATCTATGTTGGAAAAAAGTGCAGCCAGAGTGCTCCTTGGAAGCCAGGATGGCCAAACTTGGTCTCTCATACTTCGGACATATTGACCAGTCATTGAAGAAGGATATCATGTTTGGTCAGGTGGAGGGTCAGAGAAAAAGAGGTAGACCCCCAGCGAGATGGATTGGCAAAATGGCAGCATCAATGTGCTCAATCGTGGCAACAATGGTGAGTTTGGCCCAGGACCAGGCAGTGTTTTGTTCTGTTGTGCATAGCGTCACTGTGAGTCAGTACCTAACAACACCTAACAACAACAATCTATTCCAACTCTTCAGTGTGCCTTGAAGTTGGAGAACATTACTTGAAGAACATTATTGTAAACACAAACCTCAGTATTTAAATGCTTAGGAAATAGGTGAAGTCAACCTAAGGGAAACTCAGGTTGGAGAAACCTCAAGTCATGTAGTCTGGTCTCCAACCTGTTGCAGGATCTTTCTAGCTTATCTATGGCCATCTGGAAGACTCACAGCCAACATCTCACAGCTTAAGAACACATCTAGGGGAAAGAGGAAATAAAAATTACCATTTTATTTATAAAGCCTCATGCAATTAGATTGGTTCACAGGGGCATTTTCTCAGAACCACCAACCTTGTAGTTAGCAGTCCAGTGCATATCCTACAGAGTCCTGGTATGGCAGTATACAATAAGCACTAGGTCAGTTTGAACCACAAAGTTGGTGGTTCAAAACTCACCAGCCACTCCTTGGAAACTCTATATAGGGTCACTATGAGTCAGAACCCACTTAACAATAGCATAGCATTTCCAAGAAGCGGTGGTGGGTTTAAATTGCCGACCTTGTGGTTAGCAGTCTATGCTTATTCTACTGCAACACACAAGGTCTAGACCTTTAGGTTGAAAATACTATTTGTGGACTCTTCTTTATATGCTTGCATAGCTTCCTATTGGCTGTGTGGTTCTTGTGGCATTGAGCTCCCAGCCCAAGTTCTCATTGTGTAATGTGTTTTCTCCCAGGGACCATGAATCATTCTTCCCAGGACGCTGGTTCTCGTGGCATTCATGAAGATGGAAAGCTTTATGTGGTGGATTCCATAAATGACTTAAACAAACTAAATCTTTGTCCTACTGGATCACAGCATCTGTTCCGTACGTGTGACCTTGGAGGCCTGGTGGTCCTTCTCAGTTTCTAAGCCCCTAAAAATTGCACATGACATAGATGTGTGGGGGTGATGGGGTGGGTGGGCACCTGGAAAGGCGTGACACAAAAAAATGCTTTTTATTATTCTGCAAATTTTGCCTTTGTTTTCTAAATCTTTGACAGGCTTGTGGGCTTTCTTGACTCCAAAGCAAGACTTGTCCTGAGATGACCCTATAAAGCTAATGACCTTCTGAATTATTAATGTGCTCTACTGACCTGGTGTGGCGCTGTGGATTAATGCGCCAGACTGCAAAGCCATTTGAACTGCAAGGTCAGCGGTTCAAATTTACCAGCTGCTCCTTGGAAACCCTATACAGGGTTGCTATGGGTCAAAATCGACTTGATGGCACTTCACAACAACACAACAACAACTGACCATACATAGCCAGGCACTGATAGTACCCATTTGCTCAGAAGGGTCTTATTTCAGAAGTTTGTTGAGAAAAATGCTCAACTTACTCACCCAGCTTAAAGAAAACAAACCCATAAAAATTCTATAGGGCAAAACCATCATCTTTCTCTACTTAGCTAATTACAAAATGCCCCAATTAAAAAAGGGCTACAAAAAAGTGAAGAAAACAAACAAAAACAACCAAAAGTGAAAAAAACAAAACAAAAACTTGCTATATACTAGATGTGTATCTTGCCCATAAATATTACAAACGAACTTAGAACATTCCAAGCCCTGTCTTTTCTGGCTTAAAAGCTGACATTCAAACACAGATGCAAATTGCTCACTTGACATTTGTTTCATTCACAGTCTAAACTCCTATAGTCTCTCTATCTACCAGTCCCTTTTAAATCCTTTCCGAATTCTTGCTTTTCCCTTCATTTTAATTTGTCCAGATTTTCACCTGTATTTATTGCAGTTTCCGTCAAGAGTAGGTGTTTGGATACCAGCCTATGCTTTCACTTTGATGAGGAAACAAAAGTGCTTGAGAGGTTACACAAGCCACCCACATATCCATATTCAAATAGCACACTTTGTAGAACCAATGCAAAGTAGGAGGAACTACAAATATCCACTCAGCAACGTTTGTTACTACAGGTGCTCACATTTCTTCCCTCAATGTAATTTGAATGTTCTTAGGTAACTAAGCAGCTATGGGTGCAAATGTAACAACAATTGTGAGGATGGCGCAGGACTGGAAGTGTTTTGTTCTGTTGCATATGAGGTTTCTATGAGTTGGAACCAACTTGATGGTGCCTACCAACAAGTCTTACAAAATGATCGACAAATGGGACAACTGATGGTTTGGGTGAACCAAACGGTTTAATTGCAAAACATTTAAAAAATCTTGCTTTCCAGAACATGGCCTCTGACAAACTGCTTTAAGAAACCAAGATACACTTGGGCCATTTATTTATTTTAAGCAGATGTAAGCATAACTGATTATTTCCATTATAAAAGGAGTTCCCTCAAAGCTATCCCAGTCTTCCAACTAGAGTTGTTGTTGTTGTTATGTGCCGTCGAGTCGGTTCCGACCCACAGTG